CAGGTCCCTTTTACCAGGGTGTTTCCAAGTTAAAGCAAGGAAGCAAAATCTTATTAAGTCAGTCTACTTTTAAAATCTAGGGACAGTCACAGATAGGCAAATATCTGACTCATCTCCATCTCTGCCCCTCTGTCCTCCACATCTACCTTCAAACTGAGCATGTACCTGTTGTTGTTATATGCCGGCGAGTTGGACCCAACTCATAGCGAACGCTCCTTGGGTTTCCAAGGCAGTATCACTACGGAAGTGGATTGCCCAACTTTCCTTCCGAGGAGTGGCCTAGGAATTTACTTTCCTGATAATGCACCTTGCCTGCTATCTGCTTGACTTCCCAATTCACACTGTGTGCTCCTAGAGGGCTGAGGACTTTTAATTCATCGGTCAAACCATCTCCTCACCTTTCAAACTCCCCAAGGCCAGTGCCCAAACACATACCTAGTAAACACCTTGTAAAGGGGCTCTATAAGTACCAGGCAAAGCAAATGTCCTCAGGAAACTTGTTGCTGTGGCCCAGTCTCGTACCATCTCTGCGATGGGTTATAGATCAGATTGTTGTGATAGATCCATAAGATTTTTTATCAGTTGATTTTCACAAGTAGATCACCAGGCCTTTTCCCCCAGTGCGTCTTAGTCTAGAATATCCAATGAAACCTATTGAGTGTAACGGCAACACACAAGGCTCCACTGACAGACTGGTGCACTGGCCAAGAATCGAACCCATGTCTCCCAAATGGAAGGCAAGAATTACACCACTGAACCATCACTGCTCTTCTCTGGTTAAGACCCAGAAAGCATTTTATAAAATAGTCCTTTAAAGGACAAAGGACAAATCTGACAGAGTACTCATAGTTTCAATCTACAAGGGACATAAAATATCACTGGAAAATAAAATGTTAAACGAAGAAAACTGTATTTAATAGAAAGATATGGTTAGAAAAAATACTTTGGTAAGTCCCTTGGGCTGGTGAGTGGGTCCCTTGGAGGGGCATGCTTTCTGAAGCATGTTTTTGTTAAGGGCAAGAGTATGGCACAACTGGGGCCAGAGATGAACTGTTCAGGACTATAGAGGAGGCTGCAGGCTGCCATGGGCAGTCCTCTTTTCTCACTGCAATGCTTTCTAAATAAACTTTCAACAGTTACCCTTACCTTACACTACAGGCCAGAGGGAAGCAGCCTGCACTACTGGTCTGGTAAAAAAAAAAAAAAAAAAAAAAAATCATTCATCTGCCCTCCATGGCTATGTGTTTCAGAACATGCCTGATACGAAAGACTACAATACAAATACCATGTGGAGTTATATTCTTTTCTGATGGCTCCAGTACAGACGGCTAGATAAAAAATTTTAAAATAATGTGGTCATGGGATGCTTCAAGGAGATGGGAATTGGCTGTGTGCTCAGTAGCTTATCTGTGAAAGGAACAAAATAGTAACCTAAAAGAGAGACCTCCAGCAGACTAAAGATGCTGGGCTCCTTGTGGGTCTCCCTCCTACCCTTTCCTTTTGCAGCCCTTGTGTTCTGTGAAGAATGGAAGAACAACTTCCAGAAGTCAAGTAGTTGACAGCTAGTCTTCAGCTTAGAATAGAGGTCTGCAGCTATGATCTGTTCCATTAGAACAAGGCTCAAACCAAGCCAGTGTTAACACTGGCCTTTAACTTTGGATCTCTACCTTGATTCCTAACCCCAGCAGCATCATTGCCTTCAATGACATTTCAGAATCTTACAAGTTTGACAAGACTTTAGACATCTGATGCCACCACCCACACAATTGGAACCATAACCCTACCATACCCCTAGCAGACCAGAAAGGCAGCTTGCATGAACATTTCAAGGTTCGTATTCCAGCTCAAAGGCTCCTTAGTCTCCCACAGATGATTCATCTGTAAGTTCTCCCTTATCTTAATGGTGACCAGCATGATCTACCCCAGCTATCCTTCCTTCTTTACCTTCAAAGCTGGGAATGAGTTATGTGGTCGGTGACAGACAGATGTCAGCATTCAACACAGTGAAAAAAGATGCTGAACTTTTAAGGAAGGATGCTGGGCTGAACCCTACTTGCCCCTTTCAAAACTCAGAATGCATCTGAAGCTGTGGCTAGACTGCTCCTGGTTAAGAAAACTGGGCACATTTCTCAGGGGTTCAGCACATAGTCTGAGTCAACAATGGGGCCTGAAAGCCTTGTCACCTCTCAGGACACTCCTGGGCATGGGAACTCCAGAGACAAAGCATCACATTCCATTTCACCTCAGTCCATCCAAGGAGGGAGAAGACAAACCCTAACTGCTAGGCCCTGTGATGACACAGTCATCTCTTTTTCTCCTGGAAAGACAGATTTAAGAGTTGAAGCAATGACACAGGACTAGTGGTTAAAACATTAAAAACACGGAACCAGAGCCTTTTATGGGCCATGTAAAACCAGGTGGTGCGGGACATACTGTAATATGGTTGGTGGAAGTAATTTTCCAGGTTGTTTTTCTACTCCAGGAAAAAGAAAACTTGGGACTAAACTTGCTGGGAGCAAGGGGTAAAAGATGCTAGCAGGGTTACAATGACTAAAGAAGAAAGAAGTTGATATCACAAGGAAGAAGGAAGCACCTCACACATAAAGAGTCAATTTACACAAAATCTCCAAGCTGCATGAGGAAGTAGTTTTACACTCAACCCTAGTCAGGATTCTCAGAAGCAACAGTGGGTCCCAGGTGACAAACGGGATGTAATTAGCCTCTGTGCCTCAGACCATGTGTTCTAAAATGGGTAGGAGCAGTCTATCAGATATTCTCTGTACAGCGCCCAGGAATGATTGTTAGGACTATGGCTTCTGTTGGAAGGCTCTATAACTGACTTCTAGTACTTACCATCTCTCAAAAGTGTTCCTTTTTAAGGGGAGGTAGGTGATTATGGGGGTCGCTATGAGTCGGGTTTGACTCGACGGCACATAACAACAACAACAACAACAAGGTGATTATGGTATTTTAGAGTGCAAAGCACAGTGGGGAGCAGAAGATATGAGAAAGAGAGTAGCAGGCTTACTTAGTTTAAGGTAGGTCAAACAAGATATTGGTAACAATCTTTTTGCTGGTCAGGAAGGCCCGCTCCTAAATAAAGAATGTAAAGTTTCTAGATACCAGTCCTATTCTTGTTGGCCAGCTCTCAAGAAAGAACAGCCCACTATTTAAGCCCACTGTACTTCATTCCCATTGAGCCACCCTGGGCCACAGCCTACGTCTCAGCTTAGCCTACTCCTGCTTTGTGGTCTCAGGATAAGCAACTCCTGTCTTGTGTAAAACTACATTGGTCAGAAAAGGGACCAAGTTCAGAGACAATCAATAATTTCTTATATATTTTTCAATATTTTGTAGCATTGTTTCATTTTCTGCTATACATGGCAATAAATATTTGTTGCTTTGGTCTGTACAAAGTCTGTGAAGAAAGTAAGACAGGTGTTATCTAAATGGACAAACAATAAATACACAACACTATCTTGTTCTGAGTCCCCCAGACAATGGTGGGAGAGCCTGAAAAAAAGACTCAGACCTTTTGACTCATAGTCCAAATCTGTACCATATTGCCACCTTTCAAGTTGTCACTTAAACACAGTAAGTATCAAGCATCAGACAATGTTCAGGAGTCCTACAGTCAGTCTGCATGACTAGAGCTTTCTAAAGGAGAATGTGGAAGGTCCCAGCAACTCATACATAGAAAGCTATTTATTTCCTATAGGAAACACACACACACACACACCCTTCAAACAAACAAACAAAAAAAAAAACACAACAACAATGTGAGAAAGAAAGAAAATAAATAAACAAAAAGATGGTCTTCCCCCCCAAAAGGCAGGCAGTTACGACAAAAGGTAGGACATCTAGTTGCTGGAGTGGAAACATTAACATTCAGTTAACAATGGAATATTTAAAAAAAATAGTTTTCTTTTCAAACTGTAACCTGTGGTAAAACATAGAAAAATGTACTAAACAAGCTTGGTATAAAACAGAGTAAAATTTCCAAATAAGCCCGGGGGAAAGCACAATACTGGGAAGGATGGGGTACAAAGGGAAGAAGAGGAGAAAATATTTCATACAAAACTACCTATTACAATACAGAAAAAAGTATAAAATGTTCCTATTTTGGAACTTAAGTACAAAATGACACTGGCATTGGATCATTTTCACTATCTAAGCCTGAGGAGCTCTCAGAAGGTGGGGGAGATGCTGGAAGGAACAAAAGAAATAGCAGTTTCTCAATCTCAAATTGCTTAGTCCAAACTCCACCCGTTTTCCAGTTGAAAATCTTGCATCCCTCTGTAACTATACCCCTAAGCCAAAGTTCATCCAGGCCTTAAAATATTCTGTTAGGAAGCCCACAAACACCCTACACATAGGGGTTGGGATCTGTGTGTGCTGGAGCTAAATTTGGAAAATGGAAATAAATCTACAGGATAAAATGATGAACACACTCAGCCAGGGGTGGGGGGCATATCCCTGTGAAATATATATATTAAATTCTCTGTGGTTAGAAACATATTTCAACTAACAAGCCACAGACCAAATTAGATCTGCATTCAACCAATGACGAATTTTATGCCAAAGACTGAGGCCCTTTTTCTTCGTGGTCAGAAGTAGGCAGCAGTCAAAGTGGTGCTTTGTTGAGCCACTAAACCACTCCCTTGGTGGGTCTTTCCCATATCATGTGTTGCTAGCACATGCAAATCCCTGCTTTTAAGGGAAAGACTGCCTGGGACTTTGGGGCCCATCCAGGACCCAAGTGCTACGTCTCAGGATGGGAAGAAGCTACAGATAATAACAACACCCTTGTATAGAACTGGATAGACTTCACATATGGGCACAGAAAAAGTCCTGGAGGAGGAGACTTAGGCATGTGCCCCAAAGTCTAGTTTACAATCACATTCCTGACTACACATTTGGAAAATCATATGTGTATGTATGTGTGCGTGTATATGCTGGTGGTTTTTGTCCCTACCTTTCTGCCCATGCCCTTTCCTAGCTCTTAGTAAGGCCTAATAACAAGAGTTTATATGAAACCAAGATTCTTTCCAACCTTCTCTAAGTCCCCTCAACTAGGAACTGAGTGAAGTCGGAGCCCTTTGAAAACAAGATGGCAGAACTGAAGAAGTGAAAAACAGTCTTTCTCTTCAGCTTAGGGATGTCCTTCACCCCGTTCACAGCACCAAAGTTGCTTTGCAAAAATAGTATCTCAGATACAAAAGGAAAGGCAGATGTGCTTGTGAATGCATCTCGCCAAGGCCTGGTCCAAGAACAAGGGCTTTACAATAACAGAGGGTTGGGAGCAGCTGTTTCCAAGGTCTCTAGCTGTGGACAACAAAGAGCTGGTCCCCAACAAGGTCAATGTCTGCTGGCTGAGACAGTCTTCACAAAAGCTTTCGGTGGAGGATCTCCCAGACCATCCGCTTCCGGAAGTATGGCATATCTTGCTGTGAAGAAACAAAGACACTCGTGATTCTCATTTCTTTTATCCATACCCAACCACAACGAACAGATCCATTCCCATCTTCCTTCCCTCCTGGAGGTTTTCAATTAAAATAGTCTCAGTCACATTTCTAGTTTCCAATTGTTCATTCTTGATTACACATGGCTTTTTTCTTTTCATTGCTTTTTCCTACTCATCGCCTTAAAATGTTGTTGTAGCCTTAGAAGCTTAATAGGACATAGCCAGGAGTTCCCACGCTATAACTGGATGTTCTCCAAGAATTTATCAATAGTATCTATCAACAACTCTATGTTGAACTCTTAAGAGGTTATCTGAGGCTTGAAATTTAAAAAAACTGACTTTTTAGGTGAGTAACCACAAGTGTTAAGATTTAAAGGCTAAAGCATATTAAAGGTTAAGGGTAGAGCTCTCTAAGCAAAGCAAGTGGAAAGAAAACATGTGCGGGGCAGACTGGGCACAAAGTGGTCACCAAGTTTCCTGCTGAAGGTCCAGCTCACCTGTGTAAAGTTGATTGGTCTGTCTTTGGTAATGAAGTCTGCATATTTGCAGGCAAACATCCCACAATCACTACCATTCATTTGCTGTGGAATTTCCTGAAAGATCAATAACAACAACAAAGAGGTGACATCTTTCCAAGTACCTTCTTTCTTACTAGATTATAAGTAAGAACTAAGGGATATAGATTTTATAGGTTTCTCTGAATTATGAACATGGCTCCAGGCCCCTCAGGACAACAGAGGCTCAGAGAAATAAAGCACAGCATCTTAGTAAGGCCTATGTACTTCACATTAATCACATAGGAGGATATCTTAGATCACCATGGCACTTAAGGGTGTAAAAACTTTTCCCTTCCCAAAGGGCCAATCAGTAAACTTTTCTCAGTGGAGTGAAAAGCTCAGCAAAATAGCTGGACATTTAGAGAATCTGGCTCTACATAAGGAACATTACCAGCTTTCTCACAAATAGCTTAATATAGCTTCCCCAAGGAACCAACAACCAAACTGAGGAGAGCTAGATACTAAGATAGAAGGTTCTTACCAAAAGCTTAAAAAGAGAACCTACAGACTGGGAAAAAAGTCTCTTGCAATGACATATCTGACAAGTGTAATATCTCTAAAACACAGAAAACTTCAACAACTCAACAACAAAAAGACATATAATCCAGTCAAAAATAAGCAAAAGACATGAAGAGCTACTTCACCAAAGAGGACATTCAAGTGGCCAAGAAATACATGAACAGATGCTTGTGATCATTAGACATTTGTTGTTGTTGTTGTTATATGCCGTCGACTCGGCCCCGACTCATAGCGACCCCTCCTTGGGTTTCCGAGGCAGTATCACTACTCAAGTAGGATTGCCCAACCTTCCTCCCGAGGAGTGGCTGGTGGGTTTGAACCACCAGCCTTCTGGTTAGCAGTCAAGTGCCTTACACACTATGCTACCAGAGCTCCTAGATCATTAGACATTAGAGAGATGCAAATCAAAACTACAATGAGACAGGTGAAACCACAAGACTATGGCCTGCTGGAACTGGGCTCACTCTTATGGCTCAACTCTCAGCCAAACAATAGACAGGCCTAGGAGCTAAGCAACTATACCAGGGAGATGCACTTCTTAAAACAGTCAACTATAGGATCAGAAAGGCAGCATTTGCACAAGAGAAAGCTAGGCAGGCAGGAATACGTAGGTAAGAAGTAACCACACAGAAGAGGTGGGAGGAGAGCTGTTATGTCATGGGGATTGTAATCAGTGTTGTGGGGGAAAAAAAAAGGTGTAAAGGTGTATGAACTATTGAATATAAAACAAATCTGCTTTGTAAAATTGCAGCCAAATCACAATAAAAAGTTAAAAACTACAACAACAAAAAAACCGAGATACTATCTTACTCCTACAAAAATGGCAATGATTAAAAAAAAACAAACAGAGAACAACAAATGCTAGTGAGGCTGTAAGGAGATCAGAACTCTTTACCCTGCTGGTGGCATTGTAAAATGGTACAACCAGTATGGACAATGATAGGACACTTCCTCAAAAAGTTACAAACAGAAATACCCTATGATCCAGCAATCCTACTCCTAGGTATATATCCAAGAGAAATAAAACAGTGACACAAACAGACATATACACATCTATCCTGAGTGCAGCATTATTCACAATAGCAAAAAGATGGAAACCACCTAAGTGCCCATCAACATATGGGTACATATGATGGAATACTGTACAGCTATAAAGAATAATGAGGAGTCTGCAAAACATAACATGGATGAACCTGGAGGATACTATGCTAAGTGAAATAAGTCAATCAGAAAAGGACAAAAAGTATATAGTCCCACTATTATAAACAGTTAAGAACAGATAAACACACAGAAGGCAATGTTCTCTGATAGTTACCAGGGATAGGGGGAGAGGGAGGTGGAATCCCTTTCTAGATAAGTAGACACTTGTTATTTTTGGAGATGGCAAAGGTAATACTAAATAAAGATGATGTCATACAACCTGACCAAGATAAATGAAGACACTAAGAAGGACACAAGAAAAAGGGACAATTCTGGTAAATGCTGTAACATATACAATTTTGCAACAGTAGTAATAACCAAAAATATGTATGGTTACACAGGTAGATATGTATATGTGTATGTGTATAAGAAGCCATAAGCCAATAAATGTATATGCATGTATAGGTGTATTTGTAGGTATATGTATAAATGTTTTTGTGTGCTGCACATATATCTATATATATCATAAAGCCCATAGGGGCATAGTTACAGAGACTTTCTAAAGACATCCAAAAACTCATGGGATTAGTTTACTGGATTAAAGGCTTAGAACTATAGTTTCAAGGGACAACTTGGTCAACTGGCATAAAGTAGTTCATAATGATAATTTTCTTCTACATCCTCGTTTGCCTGGTAGCATCTGGAGTCTAAAAAGCTTACAAGTGGCCATCTAAGATAGAACTATTGGTCTGCAGCAAAAGAGAATGAAGGTAACTGAAGACTCAAAGAAGAAACTAGTCCATGGGACTAACAGCCCACAAAAACGATGGCCTCTTCTAAACTGAGACCAGAAGACTAAATGGTGCCCGGCTACTACTACCGATCATTCTGACCGGGGACACAATAGAAGGTCCCAGATAGAAGGTGAGAAAAATGTAGACCAAAACTCAAATTTCTAGAAAGAAAAAAAAACAGACTTACCATCCTGATAGAACCCCTAAGACTATCACCCTAAGATACCCTTTGAGCTTGGAAGTGAAGCAATTTCTGGAGGTCATCTTTTGGCCAAATAATAGATTGGCTTATAAAACAAACACTATCACCCATCAGTAATGTGCTCCCTCAAACAATTATATGAGACCAAAAGCAAAGATGGGAAGGCAAGGAGGGGAAAGGATACTAGGATCAATGGAAACAGAACAAAAAGAATTGAAATGATGAAAATGCTGATAGACTGAAAATTATAACCAATGTCATGGAAGAATTTGTATAAATATTATTAAACGGTAGCCCAATCTATGTAAACTTTCACCTAAAACACAGTAAAATATAAAAAAAAAAAAGGTAATGGGGGGAAAAAAAGGTTCTAGTAATCAAGCAGTAAAATTGTTTACTTCCCCAATACCCTAAGCTCAAGATTTCTACCTCCTCAAGATGAAATGTACCTGGCTTTTCTTGCTGAAGAGCTGCCATCCATTGGTGTCAAACACTTCTCTTTTCTTGTCAAAGCTTTCTTGCTTTAGGTATTGCCTAAAGGCATTGAGAAAGAAAAAGATGAGCTGTGGGGAAATCTGATGACAACTGCCATTCTAAGAATGGGGCTGACAATCCTTAGGAAGAGTTTCATCCCCTCTGAGGAAAACAATCTATTATGCTAGGCTAAACTCCCTCTGGGAGCTCTAATGGCATAGTACCAAAGGTGTGTGACTGCTAACCAGAAGGCTGGCAGTTCAAATCCACCAGCCACTCCTTGGAAGGAAGACTGGGTGATCTACTTCCATAGAGATACTACCTTGGAAACCCAAGGAGGGGTCACTATGAGTCAGATCCAACTCAACAGCAGTGAGTTTT